ATCATAGCAATAGAAGGATTCTTATAATCCTATATATCTACTATTACTTGTAATATAGACAACAATCACTCATGTAATCAATATATATAAGCCCACCAACAATCACTCATGTAATCAATATATATATATAAGCCCAATCCAACCAGGGTTGTACGTTTGTGAGTACGGGTTATGACTTGGTCTTTGGAAACTATTTAAAGCATTGGCTTGTTCATGGAGACATTCCTTAAAAGAAGGCAACGTGGGACAATCATTGGTTGAGTGTTCATTGGTTTCACAAATTTGACACACAATTTCTTGAACAGATTTTAATTGACCACTCTTTTTTAATTCTAGTGCCTCAACTTTTCTAGCTAAAGATGCAAATTTGGCTTGGAGGTCATGATCTTCCCTAAGGCTATACATGCCTCCATTAGATGTATGAGGTTGAGTTTTACCTGGTGCCTCACAAGTACCTGTGGTGTCCCAATTTTGAGCATTTTCAGCTAGCAACTCTAGGTACTCCATTGCTTCATTAGGGTCTTTATTTTCAAAAGTTCCATTGCACATCAATTCCACCATTTGCCTATCTTTAGGTGTTAACCCTTCATAAAATTGTGAAACCAATCTCCATGTTTCAAAACCATGATGAGGACAGGTATTAAGCAAGTCTTTATATCTATCCCAACATTTATAAAATGTTTCTCCTGGTTTTTGAGTAAAAGTGGTGATTTGTCTTTTGAAAGAGTTTGTTCTATGAGAAGGGAAAAATTTCTTTAAAAACTGTTGTTGCATTTCATCCCAAGCATGAATGGATCCTGACCTAATATTTTGTAGCCATGTTTTAGCTTTATCTTTTAACGAAAAAGGAAAAAGCTTTAATCTGATGGTGTTCATGCTACAATTTAAGTCATTATAAGTGTTACAAACTTCTTCAAATTCTCTTAAGTGCAAGTATGGATTTTCTAATTCTAAGCCATGAAAAGTGGGTAAAAGTTGAATAATACCTGGCTTAAAATTAAAATGAGATGCATCAGGAGGAAAAACAATACATGATGGTGCACTTGTTCTTGTTGGATTCATATGATCTCTAAGTGTTCTAACACGATTATTCTCATTATTCTCATTATGAATTGATTGGTTATCTTCTTCGGCCATGTTTTCTAAAGAAAATGATGATTTTCTAGAAAGTCTACCACTTAATGTACGTGTCCAAACTCTCATGCAAATACAAAAGAAAAGAAAAGAAAAAAGAAAAAGAAAAAGAAAAAGAAACAACAATTAGAAAAACAAATAAAAGTGAAAATAAAATAAAATAAAATATTTAATTTATACAATAACTTACCTCCCCGGCAACGGCGCCAAAAACTTGACACGATCAAAGAGTTGATGTCTTATCCCAAGTGCAGGAGTGTCAAAGTAAAATAACCCGGCAAGACCGGGGTCGAACCACAGGGAGGTGAATTATATAAATTACAAATAAAGAAAAAGATTTAAAGAGAATAATAACAGAAAAGGAGTTGAAGAAAGTTTTGGGATGTGATATTGATGTAAGGATTAAACAATAACAAAACATATGTCAAGGTTATAGGATTCACTAATGGTATTTCAAATAAATATAATATAAACTCTTTTTATTACTCAACTAGAAACCACACACAAAGGAGGTTCTAATCGGATGATTTCTCGTTATTAGCTCATTATAAATTACTAACATGATCATATTAATTATCTTATATAAGTAATACCATACTTATAAATATCATCAAGCATTCATGTTGCTAGTTTATGTTAACAACAAATCAAGTTTCTATCATAATAACGATTTCGGCCGAAAACTATGAAAGATCAAGCATTTGATGTACCAAATATTATACAACACAAATCTAAATTAAACATTTAATAAGCAAGGTATTAAGAATTAGTAAGATAAAAAGATAAAACATGTTAATAACAATCTTTCTTGGATATAAACATTTAAAGCTCATGTTGAGTTTATATTATACCTATTCTAACACCATTAGAGAAACCTTTTCACCTTGACATAATTAACTTAGCTAAACATTAAGAAGGAGAAAAACACAAATAAACAATATAAGAACATAAACATAATATAAGCTAACTAAGTATAGGAAAGGAAATGAAAGAGCATAAACAAGAGATTACTATAGCATAAAAGAAAACTTGAACATTACAAAGATGTAGAGAGAAAGCAAGAAGATAACTTTGATCTGAAAATTAATATGACTAAATACATGGACAATGCCTCCTTTTATAGGCTAAGATTCAGAACTATTGATTGATTGAATAATTGGTGGTCATCCATTGATTTGGTGGCTGGTTTTTGACATTAATGGCTGCTGGTTTTTTGATATTGTGGGCTGATTTTTGATATTGTTGGCTGGCCAAAACGTCATTGCTCACATCAGAATTATAGCCAACTGAATTGTGGAATCTGTGGGCAATTGTCTCAGCTTTCCATCAAAAAAAACCAGAGCTCATTTGGACTTCTAGAACTCAAGATATGAGCCAAAAACCGAATAGTGCTTGAGCTGCAGGACAGCTTCCGACGTCTTCGTTGTTGCTAAGATTTGGGCTTGAAAACGGCAGAACTGAGTCTTTGACTTCATATGAAAGTTGTAGGTCTATGTCTTACCTTTCCATCGATATAAAATGGACCTAAATCTGATATCTACAGCTCCAGATATGATCAAATTACTGAACGGTGTTCGAGTTTGGAATGCACCAGCAACACTTTGCTAAGTTTGGCCTTCTTTTTATCCTTTCAATTTCAATCCTTAAACTCATCAATCAATCCTTTTATTTATGTGATAGACCTGCATTTAGGATGAACATTTACCATGAATTAAAGGTATATTATATTTTTAGACTTGCTAATATAAAACATGCTTTTGTTAGGGAATTTAATGATACTTTAGGTGTAATATGATGACATAAATCCTTAATGAGAATGCACTTTTAAATACTAATCAAAGCTTTACTTCACAGACTTTGGAAGACATCGTAGGTTTACACACTAGATGCAAGCTTTGTTGACACATTTTGTTTTCGTTTTTTTAATGTTATCTGCTTTTGTTTAATTACATGCATGGCAAGCATACAAGTTCTCTGTCTTTTGTTCATCACTGTATGTTTTTTTCTCTTCAATGTTCCTGTTTACTTTCGCACAGTCATGTTGGTTCATCCCACACCAATAATCCAGGTGTTGATGATGAGCTTGAGATCCAAGATTCGGCTCCAGATACTCAAGATGCTTCTCCTCGCACAAAAAGGCGGCGAGCCTCCCAAAAAACTTGCTGTTCTGAGCGCAAGGACCTTATTGCTGAACTTCTAACTCAATTTACATCCTTCTTTCTTTGCAATGATCAAACAACCTTCCCAGAAAACTTCTTCTACTGTCAGTGCCTATATATGTTGTTCTAATGTCTCTTTTCATTGTTCTGTGATTGCAGGTTTACTTGCTTTCCAGCATCTCTTGCATTCGAGACCTCCATGCACAAGTCTTAAATTTATTTTGTATTGGCTGCTAAACCATGCATAGTTACTATGCTCCAATTTCCACGACTACTTGCCATACTACTACATTTTGCTTTCTTCAAGGCTTTGGACTTGCTGATATCAACAAATACACTTTTAAATACTAATCACTTATATCAATGATAAGGCCCTTTGCTGCACAAAACCCAGGCATAGCTTTTTTGCTCTTCCATCCTGTTTTTGATGTTTGTATATAAGCCATGTAGACAGCCTCTCAAAACTTGAAAGCAAAATTTACTTTTACCTTCAATAGCAGTTTACCTATAATCGATTCATGCACACTCCTTTACTTTAGTGTTAAAAAACATTTTTTTCCCATCTCATAAAAAAAAAAAAAAGAAGCCCGCGGCGGGGACCCTATCTAGTATATACATATATTATGCGGCACAATGAATGATTCTCAAGGTAAAATTACATACTGACAAGAGAGAAACAGTGCATGCTAATAGTTATCACATCTGGTGTGAGCATAAAATTCCACTTGCTCTAGCTTTCCTGTGCATGAAGAGTCTTAAAAGCGCACCCAACGAATCTTTTAGCTTATGCTGCAGCCGCGGCGCCCGCAAGCCCTTCGAATTCATCTCTGAGCACAGACAGGTCCATATTTTAGCTAGAGCAAATTAAAGGTGCACCCAGCGAATCTTTTAGCTTCACTGACATGACATAACCAGAATACTGCAGTTATAGCGACAATCTACTTCTGTAATTGTTACTTGAAATCCAGAATACTGCAGTGTTAGGGAAGACTACCTTTTCAGGAGATGGAGCTGCGGCTTTAGGAAAGGAATCTTTCATTTTTTTGTGAAAGAATAGCACTTTCTTAAACAATAATTTAGACAAGTAGCACGGATAAAAAAAAAAAAAGATTTTGAAAAATAACACATTTAATAAGATGCATTAGATTGAGATTTTTTTTTTTTAAATCTGTAATTGTGTTATTAAAATTAATAAAATCGTATTGAAATTTAATTAAATGCAACTAACCTTTTATTAGTAAAACAATTAAAGATTTTAAATTTCTTTTTGGGAATATCACAATCTGGGATTTTCCTTGTGCTAATTTCCTAAAGTATTTTACCGTGCTACTTTAAAAAATGACCCAGAATTAATGGGATTGCATGCAGTGCCAAGATCTTAAATTGCGCAATTATTGGGCAGTTGAGGGATACATTCAAAATGTTGGGTATTTCTCTAACTCTTGAAATTTTTTTATTTAAAATTTTTTTGTATATATTTTTAAATTGTTTTGAAATGTAGATGTTAAAAATAATTTTTTAAAAATAAAAAAAAAATATTTTAATATATTTCTAAATATACCTCCCCCCCCCCCAGCCTATAAAGCATTACATGGTATTCGCTAATATTTTACTATGAATTTAAATAGAAAAATATATAATATGATTAACAGTGACTATCCCCTAGTAGCGTTGTTGATAATAAGTGTCAGCTTGAGACACGGACCCTATCTAGTATATACATATATTATGTCGCCCAATGAATGATTCTCAAGGTAAATATACATACTGGCAAGAGAGAAACAGTGCATGATAATAGTTATCACATCTGGTTTGTGCTTAAAATTCCACTTGCTCTAGCTTTCCTGTGCATGAAGAGTCTTAAAAGCGCACCCAACGAATCTTTTAGCTTATGCTGCAGCCGCGGCGCCCGCAAGCCCTTCGAATTCATCTCTGAGCACACACAGGCCCATATTTTAGCTAAAGCAAATTGAAGGTGCACCCAACGAATCTTTTAGCTTAACTGACATGACATAACCAGAATACTGCAGTTATAGCGACAATCTACTTCTGTAATTGTTACTTGAAATCCAGAATACTGCAGTGTTAGGGAAGACTGACTACCTTTTCAGCAGATGGAGCTGCGGCTTTAGGAAAGGAATCTTTCATTTTTTTGTGAAAGAATAGCACTTTCTTAAACAATAATTTAGACAAGTAGCACGGATAAAAAAAAAAAAAGATTTTGAAAAATAACACATTTAATAAGATGCATTAGATTGAGATTTTTTTTTTTTAAATCTGTAATTGTGTTATTAAAATTAATAAAATCGTATTGAAATTTAATTAAATGCAACTAACCTTTTATTAGTAAAACAATTAAAGATTTTAAATTTCTTTTTGGGAATATCACAATCTGGGATTTTCCTTGTGCTAATTTCCAAACGTATTTTACCGTGCTACTTTAAAAAATGACCCAGAATTAATGGGATTGCATGCAGTGCCAAGATCTTAAATTGCGCAATTATTGGGCAGTTGAGGGATACATTCAAAATGTTGGGTATTTCTCTAACTCTTGAAAATTTTTTATTTAAAATTATTTTTTATATATTTTTAAATTGTTTTGAAATGTAGATGTTAAAAATAATTTTTTAAAAATAAAAAAAAAATATTTTAATATATTTCTAAATAAAAAAACATTACACCCTTAAACAGCCTATAAAGCATTACATGGTATTCGCTAATATTTTACTATGAATTTAAATAGAAAAATATATAATATGATTAACAGTGACTATCCCCTAGTAGCGTTGTTGATAATAAGTGTCAGCTTGAGACACTGTTTCAACTAGAATTTTTAATAATTTTGAATTATTTTAAATTATTTTTTCTTTAAATTTTAAATTATTTTGATATACTAATATTAAAAATATATTTAAAAATTTATTATTTTAATATATTTTTAAATAAAAAACAATTTAAAAAACAAAACATCCGGAGGTTACCACAGAGAGTAATGCCAACTCACCTCAGGGTAACAAGTTTGACGAACAATTGTCTGATTGTGTGTATTTACCAGAACTTCACAGGACAATTTTGCCTGTATTAAATAAGATAGAATTAAGACAGCACCTTTGATATCACTAAACACAAGAATCAATAGAAGCAGAGCATGTAAGTTACACATGCAATCTTCATCACCTGGGAGTATAGGCAGAGAAGTTATTACAAACACATGATATGACAGAAGAACTGGAAATCATGAAAGGAAAGGGGGAAGAAAGAACCAGTTTTGACAGCTTCCATAAGCTAATTTGTCAAATATAATACTGTCTAAGGCCTAGAACAATTCAGTATATTAGCTTAATAATTTGATCAGGTCTTCAAAGCGTGATGCATTTTACTATGACTTGTGCTCGGCCCCAGTAAACTTGGCTTTGGAGTAACTAGCTAGCATCTCAAGATTTGCTTAAAAGAATACTTCAAGATGACCTCAAAAGATTATGCAAGGGTTACTTGTAAATTAATGTACGCATTGAACGTGATAATTTATAAATCATATGTTAAAAAAATATTCATATACACATTCAAATTTTTCTCCTAACAATTTGGATGGGTTTCGATTAACATACAGTCACAACTGCCATGCGCATTACCTTAATCAATTTTGAGTCTCTAACCAATAAAAAACTTCAAAACTTTAGAAGAGAACAGAAAAACAGAGTATTACCTTCAAAGGGAACCCGAAGAACAACAAACCAAGCTTGCCAGAAACCTCGGTGACAGTATCAAACGGGACCGTACCCCTACCCAGGTCCTCAAGCAAGGACACCACGTCGGACAAAGCACTGATCCCCCTTAAATCTATTTCAGCATCCACGTAGGATGATCCTAGTGCCCTCACGTGTCCATGACCGGATCTCACGTGACCCAGTCTCTTCCCTTTGTACTTTACAGCAACATCAAGGCTACTAAAATCCATGGAATACACATCGACGTTGCGTACTCTTAAAGTAACGTACAAAGATAGATCAATATTAATTATGGGCAAGGTGTGTACGCGTATCTTGTCTAGGCGCAGTCCTACGACCTTGATCATGGGATCGGACGGCCAAAAAACATAGACAAGTGCTGAAAGGAGGAGGAGGAGAAGGAACACGGTAGTTATCATTGGCCATCGGCGGCAGAACGGAGTGGTGGGGTGGCGGTAAAAAGGTAACACAACACACCCTTCTTCATGCTGACATGGTATTTGAGCATAGCAATGAGTTGGCGATAGTGGTGGTTCAGTACTCTTGGGAGGAGCCATGAGCGGTGCTGTGGAGATGGGGAGGAGAGGGGAAAAGAACTTTGGCGAGGAAAGTGAGTTGTGGGTGCCGGGTTTGGTCGTTTGCCCTTTAAAGTGATGTCATGATGTAGGGAAATTGTAGAGGGGACTTCCTGGTTGTTGGGACTGTTTCTCGGGGATACTAGGACTCTGTGGGGACATGAGTATGATGAGATTTGTTTCTTGGGTGAAGGTCATCATCATTTCTTTTGCTTTTCTGGTGTAAGTGATGACCACCACTGTAATTTTGGCAACACGTGCGGAGTTCGTGTTTTTATTACTTAAAAAGGGGGGAAAAAAACAAATAACACATCTCAAATTCTAAAACCCATTGAAAAGAATTAAATTATTGATATAGACTTTTTAATGGTGTACATATAGTTTTTCTATATACATTCCAATTAAAATTTTATTTTAACAACTTATGTTTATTTTAATTATTTAATATTAATATTTTTGATTTTTTTGAAAAAAGTTATGGAAGTGAAGGAAAAAATATTTAAATAATTCATTTTAATGCTTATAATAGCTCAGATATATAGAAATAATTGTTCTTTAATAAAAAAAGGGGTCATTTTAGCTTTTTATTTGACTAGAGAAAAATAAAAATATTATTTTTTTCTTTTGATTCTTTTATTAAAAATATCTTTAAAATTCAAGGTCTACTGTAACATTATCTTTTATATACTAAAAAACACTAAAAGCAATGTGTCTTTGACACGACAAAATTGATGTCTTCTTTTAAGTGCAGGAGTGTCGAAGTAATAAATAACCTGGTATGACCGGGGTCGAACCACAGGGAAGTTAATTGTATAAATTACATATAACAATAATACAACAACAATAATAATAATAACAATAACAACAACAACAATAAAAATAATAATAATAAAGAAAAAAGAAGGAGAAGAAGAAGAAAAAGATAAAAACTTTGAGATGGAATATTAATGTAAGGATTAAACAATGATAATAACAAATGTCAAGGTTAGAGGTTTCAATAATGGTATGTCAAACAAGTATAGTATAAACTCTTATTATTCAATTGGAAACCACACACAAATGAGATTCCAATCAGATTATAAATTGTTAACATGATTACATTAGTC